CATCATTGTCGTACCACACAGAGCATTGTCACTGCCCTAAAAATCCTCTGGGCTCTGCCTGTTCATCCCTTCTTCCGTGCTAAGCCTTGGCAACCATTGATCATTTTACTGCCTCCATCGGTTTGCCTTTTCCAGAATGTCATGTAGTTGGAATCATACAGCGTGTAGCCTTTTCGGATTGGCTTCTCTCACATAGAAATATGCATTATTCTTTGCGTTTTCCAGTTGGAAAACGGAGGCTGGAAAGTCAAGTATGTGTCAATCAGAGTTCTCAGTTGAAGGCAACTGTTCTGGTATGTTCAGAAGCAGGTGGCCCTGCTGACACCCTGATGTTGAGCTATTGGACTCCAAAACCGTGAGAGAAGAAATCGCTGTTGTTTTAGGCCACCAAGTGTGTGGTCACGGGTTTTGGGTGCCGCGGAAGATGAATACCCTGTCACTTGGCTCAGGCTCCAAGGTTCACGTGGATGAATGTGGGACCGAATCCTGTGAACTCGCAGCTCCTCTAAAGGAGCCGGACCCCTGTGGCTCTGCCCTTGCCACACAGCGCCTGTGTCTGATGGGTTGAGCAAGGTCACTTGCTGTATTTTAGCTGCAAGGCATGCTGGGAGTGGAGCGTACGTTCCGTTCCGGCTCCTACCCGGAGTGGGAGGGATCTGCAATGTGGAGTGCTCAAAGATGCGGGGTGTCTAGAAATGTGACAAGCACCCTCTCGGAAGGGACTCACCCACAGCCACTGTATTATTAGTCCGCCTGGGCTGCTGTAACAAACAGACTCAGTGGCTTAAATAATATAATAGACATTGAGTTTCCCACAGTTCTGGAGACCAGAAGTCCAAGACTGAGGTTCCGGCAAGGTTGATTTCTAGGAGGTCTCTCTCCTTGGCTTGTATGCAGAGAGGCTGAGCCCTGGGGTCAGGCTACACCTTTACGATTTTTTTTTTTTTAAGTTTGTACTTATTTATTTATTTTTAGTAATCTCTCCACCCAGTGTGGGGCTCGAACTCACAACCCCAAGATCAAGAGTTTCATGCTCCTCTGACTGAGCCAGCCGAGTGCCCCCTTATTCTTTCATTTAACCTTGATAACTGCCCCCCTCCTTTTGTTTTTGAGACACAGAGAGAGAGAGTGTGTGTGGGCAGGAGCAGGGGAGGGGCAGAGGCGGTGGGAACGAGAATCTTAAGCAGGCTCCGTGCCCAGTGCAGAGCCCAACTTGGGACTCGATCCCATGACCCTGGCATCATGCCCTGAGCCAAAATCAAGAGTGAGCCTTCAAGGCTCACCGATTGACCAAGCAAGCCATCATCAAACGGACTGAGCCATCCGGGCGCCCCCTTTAATCACCTTTGAAAGGCCTTGTCTCCAAACACAGGCACATTGGGCATTATGCTTCTGCATGAGAAATTGGGAGGACACGATCCGTCCACAGCAGTTACACGGTGGTTAGAGGCGAGCTGGGATTTGTGCACGCACGTGACTCCGCATCCACCTCCTACCTCAGCTCCCATCAGATTTGGCCGTGCCGCTCACGGTGTATCTAGAAAACCCAGGGTGACTGGCTTTGGGCACCATTTTGCCTGACTGCCTGGCAGGAAGGGGGCACAGGCCGGCTCCCCCATGATGTTGGTGGCACAGCCGTCTCCATCCATACTTCGTAATCGGTGTATTCAGAGTTCTTCGTGGCAGACAACGGAAACCAACCATGACTTGGGTGGAGAAGGACTTTATTGAAAGATTGATGGGTAACTCAGAGAGATGCTAAGAGGGCTGGGAAATAGCTAAAAAAAAATCACAGGAAGAAAGGCGGAACATGGCCCAAATCCCAGTACACAGTCGGTCCAGAGGGGCCCCCCACTGCCACCGCCACAGGATTTTGCGTGCTCTCCCTGGAACAGATCTGCTGCCCCTGCTTTTCTGCATCAGAAGCTCTTGGTTCGACATGCGGCAGTGGGTGCCCGTGATTGGTCAGACTTAGATCTGCGTAGGCCTCACCACAATTCCAAAAAATACGTATCACCGTCCCCATTTTACGGATGAGGAAACTAAGGCTCGAAGAAGTTACGTGACTTGTCGACGGCAGGTCTCGGTCTGCCTGACGCTGGAGCGCACTCTCCCAGTGACCACGCTTGGTGCCTCAGCCCCGTTGCTGGGCACGTGTACTTCCAAAGGGGTCATTCCCGTTGCTTCCACCAGAGATGTGAGTGTACCCCCTTCTCTCGCCACCCTTCCCAGGATCAAGGGAGATGTGTCATTTATCACACGTCCTTGCTCATTTGGTGGACTAAAATGGTGACCTCTTGTTTTGGTTTGCTTCTCTTCATAACTGTTGAGGCGGAACATTTTCCGATAGTCTATTATCCATTGATATTTCCTCTCTGTATGCGTGGAAAAATCCCACCCGTGTTTTTTGTTCACGTTGTCTACTGGGGTCTCGGTGGCATCGTCTTAGTTGTCGTTCGCATGAGCTCTTTCCCTGTAGCAACGAGATCTCACTCTTTCTTGTTTCTTTTTTTGTTTCCAAAGAACACTTTCACCACCTTTTAATTTCCTGTTGAACTTTGTTCATTTTCCTTTGACAGACAGGAGTTTTGCACTTCAGGGTTAAAAATTTAGCAGTCGTTTTTTTCAGGCTGGCCACATGACACGAGGGAGTGTTCCTGGGGGAAACACGTCTAACACCGAATACTTAGATAATTCCTCTTTTCCATGCCCCGCCACCTCACAATACTTTTGGGTCAACAGGCTTATAACGAGCCCTTTCATCTCCAGAGGGACGATCATCAACAACTCTTGAGAGGCATAGCTTTTCACTCCACCCTAGGGCAAAAAAAAAAAAAAAAAAAAAAAACAAACAAAAGTGACGCTTAATCCACGGAGCCACCCAGGTGCCCCATCCTTCCAAAGGCTCGGTTTTGTCATCTATCTGATGGGCTACTCATGCTGGCCTTGTGTGACTGGTATGAGGATTAGGGGTGCTGCATGGAGTACGCTTAGCGGAGTCTGGCCTGCAGTAAATACACCGTGGAAGCCCGTTCTAATGCACCAGGAAATTAATTGGCAAGCACTTGCGGGTCGTCTGCTGTGTGCCCAGCATTGCACGAGGTCAATGGCAACTGGTCCCCCAAATCAACCTTCACGAGCTCACAAGGTGTGGCCGAAGAGCTAGGGCACCGCTCACCACGACTCTGCAGCTATAGGATGGGGTCGAAGTACCGAATTACAGAGAAAGGGGTTTGCGTCTTCCAAGCAGGAAGCTACCGCTGTGGGCTGAAGATTTCGGGAAAGCTTCATACAGCAAGTAGGGGCTCGAATTGGGTTTTGACAATTTAAGAAATATATTTATTCTCTTTTTATTAGGACGTTTTCCCCCTCTGAATGAAAATAGCTATGTTTTTCTTTTTTTAAAAAAAAAAACTTTATTTTTATTTTAGAGAGAGAGCACAGGGGAGAGGGGCAGAGGGAGAAAGAGAGATAGAGAGCAAGAGAATCTTAAGCAGACTCCATGGTCAGTGAGGAGTCTGACCCGGGGCTCTATCCCACAACCCTGGGATCATGGCCTGAACCTAAATAGAGTCAGATGCTCAACCGACTGAGCCACCCAGGGGTCTCTGTTCATACTTTTTAAAAATAATATGTAGTCTTGGGGCACCTGGGTGGCTTAGTCGGTTAAGCATCCGACTTCGGCTCAGGTCATGATCTCATGGTTCGTGGGTTCAAGCCCTGCATCGGGCTCTGTGCTGACAGCTCGGAGCCTGGAGCCTGCTTAGGATTCTGTGTCTCCCTCTCTCTCTCCCCTTCCCCCCCACTCTCTCTCTCTCTCTCTCTCTCTCTCTCTCTCTCTCCCTCTCTCTCAAAAATAAATAAACATTAAAAAAATTTACAACAATAAAATAAAAAAATAAAAATAATATGTACTCTTTAAAAAATAATTAGACAATGCAGTAAATCAATTAAAAAAATCTCAGACCCAGAAATACTATTAAAACTTGTATAAAATGCATATATTTATATATAAATATAATTATGTTTGTTTATGTATTTATACAAAAAAACAAGAGCATATATATACATACTGTGTTGTAACAGTATTCCATTGTATGGAAGTTTTATAATTTTTTTTTAACCAAACCATAATTGCTAGACAGGTGATGTGGGCACAACTCTGTACGTGAACGTCCAAATTCTCTCAGTCGGTAACTTAGTGATTTTAGACAAGTTATTGTTGGGTCACTTTCTAGAAATGTTGCGGAAGTCATATTGATATATATTCGCTTCCACCATCAGTATATAAAGGTTTTCTTTTCCCCACACCATTCCCGGCAACGAGTCTTGCCGATATTTTATGATTTCCACCAGGATGCAGGCAAAATACATTTTTTAAAACTTTATTTATTTACTTTGAAAGACAGAACCAGCAGGGGAGGGCGAGAGAGAGAGGGGGACAGAGGATCCGAAGCGGGCTTTGTGCTGACAGCAGAGAGCTGGATTTGGGGCTTGAACTCGTGAACAGTGAAATCACCACCCGAGCTGAAGTCAGACACTTAACTGACTGAGCCACCCAGGCACCCCGTTAAAAGTTGTATCTTTCACTTAATAGGTTTTTCTAGACTGCCCTATGTTAATGCCGTCACGTGAGACATGATGCAGCCATGGCCCCAGCCCTCCCCTCACAGAGCTCAAAGACCACAGGGTTGAGACACATTGAATAAGTAGTTCTTGGGCTCCTCGCTGGCAGCACGGAGACCGCTTGGGATTCTCTCACTCCCTTCTCTCTCTGCCCCTACCCTACTTGTGCTCTCTCGCTCTCAAATAAGTAAACCTAAAAAAAAAAAAAAAAAAGGGTTCCTGTGAACTGTGATGAGGGCAGTTATGGTTCGCATTTCTTTGATTATCCGCTCAGGTCCTTAGTAAATGACATGAAAAGGGCCCGTCCGTTGAGGTTTTGTGCTGGTACAACCTCGTGTCTGTCGGTGGACCAAGGAGATGGATGTTTTCTTTTGCCTCTGTTACCTCATGCAACGATACAGACGATGGGGCAACAAAACACAGCGTCCCAGAGGATTTTCTAGGAGAAAAAGATGAAATCAGTTATGCTTTTCTGGCCTCATTTCTCGAACATCCTTGGAAACTTATCTATTATTAACGTCTTGAGGACTAAACCAATCACATGGGGATGACACCCTGATGTGGCATACTTTAATTGCACAACATGGGATAAAATGATAATAATATAAAGTGATAGTGGGAACAACCGGATATCTGTATGAGCAAAAAATGAGCCTCCATGCTTTCCTCACACCAGACGCCAAAATTCTCCCAGCATAGGTCACAGACCCCAACGTAAGTGCTGAGACTATGTTGCTTCTCCCGTTAAACACAGGAGAAAATCTTGATGGCGTTCAGTTCGGCCAAGATTTCTCTCACAGAACACAATAACAGAAGCCATCAAAGAAACACTTGATGAAATGGACTTCAGTTTTGAAAATGCTTGCTTTTCAAAAGCACAGTTAAGAAACCAAAAAGGAGGGGTGCGGCTCAGCTGGTTCAGGGTCTGACCCTTGGTCTCAGCTCAGGTCTTGATCTCAGGGTTGGGTGGTCAAGCTCCAGCCCCAGTGTGGAGCCCACTTAAAAAAAAAAAAAAAAATCGGAAAGAAAACAAAAAGGAAAGCAGACTGAAAACAGATTTATGCAAAACATGTGTCTGAAAATGGGCTCATATCCAGAATATAGGAAGAATTTAATATCACAACTGATAATAAGAAAAGAAATAACCGTTAAAAATGGGCAAGAGATTTGAACAGATATTGCAGAACAGAAGATTTATGAATGATTAAGAAACGTATGGAAGGGGCGCCTGGGTGTTTCAGTCGGTTGAGTGTCTGACTCTTGATTTCCGCTCAGGTCATGATCCCAGGGTTGTGGGATCAAGCCCCACATTGGGCTCCGTGCTGAGCGTGGAGCCTGCTTGGGATTCTCTCTCTCTCTCTCTCTCTCTCTCTCTCTCTCTGCCCTCCTCCCCCACTCTCTCTAAAAAAAAAAAAAAAAGAAAGAAAGAAACACATGGAAAGATGTTCGGCATCACTAGTCATCACGGACAGGCAGTTAAGACTAACATGAGAGATCGTTACATAGTCCGGGTGGTTAAGGTTAAAAAGACTGACAGCACTATGTATTGAAGAGGATTTGAGGGATCTGGGGGCACAGCAGTCACTTTGGAGGAGAGGCAGGCCATGTCCTATAAAGGGTCCTAGTACGGGGCACCTGGGTGGCTCGGGCTATTGAGTGTCTGACTCTTGATCTCAATTCAGGTCTTCAGTCAGTGTTGTGAGTTCAAGCCCCATGCTGGGCTCCACGCTGGGCATGAAGCCTACTTAGAAAAAGCGTCCTAGGTATGTGCCCAGGACTAATGAAAACATTTGTTCGCATAAACACTTGCATGCAAATGTTCTTTGCAGTGCTATTCATGTTAGCTCAAAACTGGAAATAATGCAAATGTCTGTCAACCTCTGGACAGATGATTGTGGTATGAATCAACACTATGGAATACTACTCAGCAATGAAAAAGGAACTGCATATTAAAGTGACTATTCAAAATAATTTTGTTAAGTGGAAGAAGCCAGCCATGGCAGGCTACATAGAGCCATAGAATTCTAGAAAAGGCAAAACCGTGGTGGAAGAAAGATGATCAGTGGTTGCCTGGAGTGAGCATCTGAGCAGGAGACGGACGGCCGCGGGACGAGGGGGAACTGCCCGGACCCCGGAAATGTTCTGCATCCTGATCGCAGTGATGGAGGTTATATACCGTTTGTAGTTACCTAAACTCGGCAAACCATACACCTAAGAATGAATAGGTTTTATTTGTGTGTTAAAGCCGCGAGAAAAAACATCAGAAAAAAAAAAATTGATCTTTCTTGGCCCTCTTCAAATGCATTTTCTGCCTTGTATGATTTCTATTTTGAATTACATGTGGGAGTGAGAAATCGTAAAGTTTTCAGTGTCTTCATCTGGCCCCGGCACAAAAGCATCGGAGTCCCTTCTGGTCCTGCGTTGGTCACACTGGTCACCTGTCATCTGCTGCTCTTGTCCTCCGAGCTCCCTCAGGTCAGCGGCTCTGTGGCTTTCATGCCATGCGTGGGGCCCTGGAATCCCTGGTGACACAGGGGCCACCATGCCAGGTTCCTGCTTCCCCTGGTACAGATTCCCTCTGCCTCCCAGGGCATAGGATGGGAGGGCACTCTCACCTCCCTTCAGGAATCTCCCCCAAAGCTCTCCCTTTTCTCCCTGGCATTCTCTCTCTCCTACTGTTACATTTTTCTGCAAGAAAAGCCTTTATCAAATCCCTCAGGCTGGGGGGGCGGGTAGTAATGGCCCCCATCTGGAGGCAGGGGGTGAGGGGAGACGTATCGAGTGCCTGGAACATGGCCCAGCCCGAGGGAGCCCTGCGAAGGGGGGCTTCCACTGCTACCACCCCTGAGTCGGGCATGGGGGCGGGCAGAGGGAGCAAAGCCATCACACTGGAGCTGGAGAGCTTCCTTCCAGGTCATCTGGATGGGAGTTTGCGAGTCGGGCAGGGCCCCCTGGAAAGAGGAGCAGCTCAGGAACTGGTTTCTGTGCCACGCGTGGGTGGGGAGGGTGGGTGAGGCCATGCAGGGGGCACCGGGAATGGGGAGTGTCCTAGGGTCCATCGGCCCTCTTTCCCCCCGGAAGGGCAGGAGACGAGCCTCTGGGGCCCTAAACTGGGCAGAGGGCAAAGGTAGCATCAGAGAGTGAGCAGAATAATGGTGCGTATTTCTTTCCCCCACCCCTGTCTCCCTCCTCTTCTTCCTTGCTCTCTCCTTTTCTCCTTCTCTGTCTCTTCCCCTTCTCCCTTCCCCTCTCTTCCTGTCCCCACCTTGGTCTAAAAAGCCTGCGAAGAAGAGTCTGCGCTCAGAGGCATGTCATGAGTAACCCACTTGTGTACTTGCGGTTTACCTACCTGTAGAAAATCTGCACCTAAGATCGCCACATGCTGTGGGCAAGTGGTTTTGATTCCGCTCCACAAATATTTACTGTGCTCTGGTTAACTGAGCGCACTTTGTGCCCGTGGTGCCAGAGAGATGCAAACGGGCAAGGCCAGTCCTCGGAGGAGCCAGTCTGGGGCCCCTGGCTGATGTTGGCAGAAGACAAGCCCCCCCTTTCCCCAGGATACTAAAGAGCTCTCTGTCTGCCCTTGCCCTGGGCCCACTCCCCTCTCCGACCAAGTGCAGAAAGGGTCACGCCGCCAGTTGTGCAAGGTCTTAAGACAGTCCATTGAAGGCGTAGTCCACAGGAGCGAGGCAGAGCCCTGCCTGCAGGTATTGGAGGGCTTGGTAAATACCTGGCGGTTCACTGCTGATGGCACACGCAAGCTGGAATCGTGATTTCTCGTCTATTTTTCCCTCGCCTGTGAGTTTTCCAAGAGCATCCGTCCAAATAGAACTTGTCTCCTCAACACGTTTTTCAGGACCACACCAGCCTTTGAAACGGACAGGCCCCGGTTTTGTTTGCCTGTTGTTTTCGTCCGGAGAGTAAGTCTCAAGCCTAACGTTGCACCAGGGTTTAGCCAGGTCCCAGGATGAGTACAGTGCTGGTGTGCAAGAGCGCTCGGGGTAAAAGGGAAGCAGAAACATAAGGGAAAAGGAGATCTGAAGAGCAACTGGGGGTTGCAGCCAGAAAGACTGTTCCCGAGATGCTTTAGGCTCTGACCTCCTCTGATGTGGACCAGTCTGTGAGCAGTTCTGGCCGATAGACGATGAGCAGAAGTGACGCGTGCTTCTGCGTGCTTTGCTGAGTTGCCCCGGCGAGACCTCCCAGAGACGTCCTCTCCTCAGGCATTGCAACCAGCATGGTTCCAGTGGGGGCTGCTTCAGCCCCGTCCTCGAAAAATGCCACACGGACGGCTGCTGGCCCACAGCAGGCGTGGTGGAGTGAGCTGGAGTGAGGCGGGAGCCTTAAGCTTCCGAAATTGGGACTCGGTTTTCACTGCAGCCTAACCTGGCCTGTCCTGACTTCTACGTTGGGAAAACAAAAACCCCGGTTTGACAGGCAGTTCTTCCGCATCCTTGCTTCAAAGTTCAAAATAGCACATCTTCTCCCTTCTCCTCAGTCTTATCAGTCAAGACCGTGCTTTATCTGCTCAGTATGCAGCATGTAGCATGAGTGAAAGAGGTGACAAAGTTTTGTGAGACTAGTAACCTACAGAAAACAATGACTCCGCTCCACGTAGTTTACAGTGTGATGAGGGAGACAAATAGAACCTTTTCCCTCCCCCCTAATGTGCGTAGTCACAGGCCATTAGCATTGACCTTCCCTGTGGACTTCAGAGGTGATCTACCCTAACTTTGTAGCCCAAGAAGGCATTACTTGTCCATCTCTGACTTATCTGTACCTACCCAGTGCCAGTCATTAAGCTGAGGACTAGACAGAGACAGAGGTGAGGAAAACCCAGCCTAGTGGGTACAGTGGCCCAAGAGTGGTTTGGACCTAGTGCTCAGAGCACCAAAGAGGAAAGACGCTAGTTCAGGCAAGAAATCAGGGAAGGCTTCTTGGAAGAGGTGGTAGTTTACCTACATAGCCTTACCCCTCACTGTATGCTTGGGCCACTTCTTGACTGATTGTGGGAATGCAAAAATGGACGTTGGGCACGGCTCTCCACCTTCTCCACCATGTGGGCCAACTCAGCCCTCCGTGACCCACCAGAGATGCACCTCTGATCTCTCCCTTGGCTCTGTGACTTCCCAGACTGCCTTATGCACGTCCGGACTTTTGTCCAAGTACAGTGTGGGCTCTGCCCTGGAAGGCCAGAGGCCAGGTGGGTGACCCCTCCCTGCTCTGTAAAACCGGCAGTGAAATGAGAGCCTGGCATTCTAGGCGAAGTGCGGCAAGTGCTTATCTAGCCATGCTCCCTGCAAAGAATCCCTGCCTTGGTTGGGGTGGGTGGCCATGTGTTCAACTCCCATTCCCAGGCTCCTGTGGGGAGAATCACTGAAGAGTGGCTTTGCTCCGGAGCTTGTTCAGCTCCACAGCCTTTAGCAAGCAGCTCATTCACAAGTGACTACAAATTAATACAGTACAGACCAGTTACATAAATATCGTGCTGTCATTGATTATCTTCTGTAATCAGAGGCAAGGCTGCTGACTTTGTTACTCTTCCTATCACGCGGCTCTAGAGGAAAACTCTGGAGGTTGTCCACGCAGGTTTCGCTGCATGTGTCTATTTACAAGTTGTGTCTCTGATGTATTGAGAAGAGGGTAATGCCCCTTGCATTCAGAGCCAATAAGTATTTATCAAATGCCTATTATCTGAGCGGCATCGGAAGACATATTCTTATTTCATTATTGAGTTAATAGCAGTAATAATTTGATAATATGACACAAAAGTAGTCTTTACGATGACATCCCTCCCCCCCCCCCCATAAATACAATTGTTGGAATTTAATCCTTTAACTTTAAAAAAACCCAATGTAAACTTACAAGGAAAATAAAATATGACAGCCCCTATCTCTTTGCTTACAGAAACCATGAAGGGCAGAAGAACAAGGTCTTCAATGTTGGGTAGTAGCTAAGTGGACCGTCGTAGTCGCCGATTTTCAAAAGTTAGAACGGGGTAGGTGAGCCACTGACGTCTGCACTATTAGCCTGTATCCGCTTGATCGATTGTTAACCAACTTAAATGCATGGGGTTGGAAACTGTAAATTACTTCCCACAATGCAGGAAAACAACGCCATCTTTCCATTTACCTGCCAGTGCTAAGGCCGGCTGGATTTTTCCATCAGTTGTTTGAATTCGGCTGACGGTGACTTCGTGGGGGCCACCTCTCTCTTCCACCCTCTGGGACTCGTGTGCACTTGGGAGAATCTGGAGGGAGCTCTACCCTCGGGGAAGCCGGAGTTTTAAAATCCGCAAGCCAGTCCCTTTTGCCTTAGTTGAGGGAGAGACTCTGCACAAATCCCCGGGAAAGCTCGGCGGTCGCCAGACCCCCGCGGGTAGTGCAGTTTCCCTAACCTTGACGCCCAAGTCAGCCGTTTCTAACCCCTTTCCAAAGCGTCGCTCGAGCCCGGGAGTGGTTTGAAAGAAAAAAAACGAAACCGCCCGTTTGAAGCTTCGGCTAAAGGGCACTCGCTCCCTGGGGGCTCAGGGGCAACTTCTCCATCACCTCGTCCAGGGATTTTAAACAATCGCGGACCACCAGCCCCCTTTACGCTCTCGGTGCCCAACTCGCTCCCTGCCACTTCCCTCCACGAACGCCGGCAGGAGTGGGTGGCAGCACCGAGGCGATTTGATTCGCATTTTCTTTTTTTCCTCCGGGTTTTGTCATGGAAACGCTGACACAACCTCCAGACGGCGGCCGAGCCCGGCCGGGGACTGAGGGCTTTTGGGACCCTGCGGGAGCGCGGCGCGCTCTCCGCACTCCCCGGGAAACAGCTGGACGCGACCAATTCCCGGGTAGGGGCGGGGGGAGCGCGACGCTCCGCCCCGGCGCTCCGGCCCCTCCCTCCTCCCGGCTCTCCGCGGGCGCCCTCCCCTCGCCGGGGGCTGCGAGTTGCATTTGGTAAAACCCAGCCCGGAATATATAGATCATTGGAGCGCAATGAAGTAGCCTTTGGAGCGGAGGGAGGGGGCCCGTCCGACAGCCACAGCGGCCAGCGCAGCAGCGGCGGCGGCGGCGGCACCACCAGCGCTCGCACCCCAGCCGCCCGGCCCGCGAGGAGGCAGCGGCGGCCGCCGGCGGGAGCGGAGGCGGCGGCGGGGAGGCGAAGAGGAGCAGCGGGAGGAGCAGGAGCGCGCAGCCGGCGGGTCCACGCATCTCGGCACTTCCAGAGCAACTCCGGCGCCTTCCGTACCCCTGCCCGGGGCTGGGGGCTCCGAGAGCGGCCGCGAAGCCCTCCCGATCGTCCCCCTCCCGAGCCCTGCCCAGCCCTTGCCCTGCGCCTCCCGGGCTCCGCTCCGCGCGGCAGGGTCCCGGCTCCTGCGCCCCGGGCGCGCCTCCCGGACACCCCGGTCCCCGCAGCCAGGACAAAGCCATGAAGCCGGCGCTGCTGGAAGTGATGAGGATGAACAGAATTTGCCGGATGGTGCTGGCCACTTGCTTGGGATCCTTTATCCTGGTCATCTTCTATTTCCAAAGTATGTTGCACCCAGGTAGGGGGCGCGTTAGCGTGGTTTTGTTGGATATTTTCTTCTCTCTCGCGCTCTCGCTCGCTCGCTGGCGCCTGGTTTCTGCCTATTCCAACCTTACCTCTTCTCCCTCAGCCACCTCGGGACTCCTTGCTGCCCGGACAGGACGAGTCGGGATGGAGAGGAGGAGAGAAGACGTGCTCTCTCTCCTCTTCTTCCTCCCGGCTCCAGGCTGGAGGATGGGAGCAAGGGGGAGCGGTTTTTTTTTTTTTTTCCTCCCTTTTTTCTTTGTGTCTCTTGTCTGTCTGTCTGCGAGGTAGCAGAGCAAGGTAGAGAGGTTGTGGGCAGCTGCTGACGTGGGGGGCCGGTTTGAAGAGAATGCAACTCCCCGCGGATGCAGCGATCCGTGGATGAAAGAGGCGCCGGGAGGCGGCCGCCCTGCGCCTGGGCGCGCTGCCTTTTCCTTGGGTTGGGGGCTTGGGGGCTAAGGGTGTGCGCCCCGGCGAGGTCGCCAGCCCCTGCTGGGGAGCCTGAGGCTCAGGCTCCCACGTGTCCGGGGCTCAGCGCCGCGCAGAGGTGTAGGGAGAGGCTTGGTGCCCCGCACTGCCTCTCCACTAGGTTGGGGAAGGGGCCAGGCGCCCCTTGTTTGCCCCCGGGGTCTGGCTCCTCATTGACCTTGCGGCTGGTGTCCTGGGGCTTCCTTCACCCCGCGCCCCCACCCCAACGGCTCTCCCGACCCTGCGCTGGTCATTGCTCCTGGGTCACGCCTTGGCCGCGGCAGTTTTGGAGGAAACTTTGGCCCGGTCCTGGACTGACCGTCAGGTTGCTTGCCCCTCTCCTGGGTTCCGAACATCTGAAGTCCCCCGGAGGGCCCCGGGGCGTGTGGCAGTGAGCCCCTCCCCCAGCCCTCCGTAGCTTAGGCAAGTTACACATCTGAAATCTGGACTGGGGGAGGATCGAGGCTCGCCCCTTCCAAAAGGCGCTAAGGAAAGTTTGGGACCTGGGGAGGGAGGGGCGCCCTCGAGCGCGGCGGCCGGGGGTTCACTGCTCGGCCCCGAAGCCCAACAGGTACAAAAACCTTCCGAGGAGGCTTCGGGGTGACGCGGCTCGGCCCGGGGAGCCGTGGTATCCACACCTCCGCCTCACCCCCGGCCGGCTCCCACTGGGCCACATTGGCTCCGAAATCCTTTCTGCTTTCTTTCTTTCTCTTTTCTTTTCTTTTTTCTTTTTCTTTTTCTTTTTTCTTTTTTTTTTTTTTTTACGCCTCCGAGTTGCCTTTCTCAGTACAGCCACAGCAATAATTTGCTTTTATAATTGCAAGGGGGGAGTTGGAAACACATTTCCTTCCAGGGAAATGGGGTTGGTTTTTTTTCTCTTTTGCCTCCCGCGTTCTCCTTTCAGTGTGTATGTATCTAACACTTTCAGCAGACGCAGCCCCGAATTCTTCTAGCTTGCGTTTGGGTGGGTGGCAGAGGAATAAAGCTGTTCTTTCCATCAATCAGGCAGGGCTGCGGGTGTGAGATTCCTTGACAGCGTCGGGGACTGAGCGGCCCCTCTGCCCGGCTGGCCCTGGAGCAGTTGTTCAGGCGGCCAAGGATATGGTCTGACGCTACCACTGGTAACCTCAGGACATCCGAGCCAGCCTTGTAAAAGATGGCTTTTGTTTGCAGTTGGGTATTTTTAGTTTCATGTCAGCAAACTGCAGCCGTGTTTGCCTCCTCACCCAAACCGGTGGTTGGGAAACTTCTAAGGGAATTTAAAAATGGACCTCGCTTATGTTCTGGGCAGCCGGTGCGGTGGTTCCAGTGGGCAAGGCCAGACAGACAGCAGCATCCTGGAGGCCAGGCCAGACTCCGCCCCAGAGACTGGGGGACGGGGTGACGTGCAAGTGCACTGGGGCTCAACCAGTTTAAACAAAGGGCCCAGGGGTTTGGTCCAGACTTCAGATATGTGTTTAGGCCGCTTAGAATTTTGCCTGGACAGAACATGCCGGGTAATTGTCTGCAGAAATGCCAAGGACAGGACGGATATTAGTCTCCATGCGGAATGCACTTGAACTTCTCCGTACCTGTTAGTCGTCCAGGTACTGATAATACCCCCACTCGCCATGGTTTTCATGCAGCCGGTGCTTTTTCTTGTCTGAGAATTCGGAAATAACTTTCTAGCCAGAGACACCAGGAAGAAGCTTGTCCTCTGCTCTCAGCCTTCGCTTCCCTTCCTGGCCCCGTTTCCTTTTAAGAAATGGCATTTGCTTATTATTCATATCTATAGGAGTGTTCTCTCCTGACATGCTTTCCCAGCCCATAGCAAGTTCCACTGTCAATACCTTCTATTGAGTGTGCAACTGAAGATGGTCCAATTGAGAGGTCTTCCTTATGTTGAATTACGTATGGTTCCACGAAAACTCCGTGCCATCAGTTTATTATGACATGGGCCATAAAAATATGCTTCGAAATCAATACTAAACATGTTCCTTTCTCCCCTCCCCCCCCATCTTATTAAACTTCACGGTTGATGACAGCTGATGCTAAATCTTTTGTACTACTTTGAATTTCTTTAAAACTTAGCCGGATCTCTGCTTCTTTGAGGATTTGGGGTCATTGGTGGGATGATCCTTTGGCCTGGCTGTGCAGTTTCAGTCTTGAAAGATCACCCGGGGAGAGGCATAAGGGACCACGCCATGGCCCAGATTGTTGCTAAAAATTTGGAGCCCTCCGGTAGGAGTTCCACATTCCTGTATCTGAAATAGAAAAATAGTATTCCGAAAGAAATGGATTCCGGGCTTCATCGGTACCTTGAGAACACCTGGAGTGTGAGAGGTGGGGGAGAAAAAAGAAAGGAGACAGCTGGCGATGGGAGGGCTGGCTGTCTCTCCCTCGGATTCTAATCTGGGGCCCATTGTCTTCTGTACTTTTCTAGTTCCCAAGCAATTCATAAACTTGAGTAGTTGATCTTTAATTTGGTTGGAGGGTTCAGGAGAAGTGGGCCTTGTCAGTAAGGCAGCTTTCTTTAGGTCTCTGACATCTGAGTTATAGTCCTTGTTTATGTCAGGTTTTTTGGGTTTTTTTTTAATGTCTTTTTTTTTTTTTTTTAAGAGAGAGTGTGTGCACAGCTTGTGCATGAGTGGGGAGAGGGCAGAGGGAGGGAGGGAGGGGGAGAGAGAGAGAGAGAGAGAGAGAGAGAGAGAGAGAATCTTAAGCACGCTCCATGCTTAGCTCAGAGGCTGCTGGGGGGGGGGGGGGGGGGCCCTGTGCGCTTGGTCCCATGACGGTGGGATCCTGACCTGAGCCAACATCAAGGGTATGGTGTTCAACCGACTGTACCACCCCGGTGCCCCATGATTTTATTTTTTAGTCATCTCTACACCCAGTGTGGGGCTTGAATTTACAACCCCAAGATCAAGAGTCCCGCACGCTCTACCGACTGAGCCAGCCAGGCACCCTGGGATCAGGTTTTAGCCCCATCCTAATCCCAGTGTTTTACGCAGTGCCTGACACATAGTAGGTTCCCAATAAAATAATTGCTGGGGAAAAGCACGAATAGCTCAGCTCCAGAAGACCCGCTTCTCTGGTTTTCAGGAACGTTATCAAGCCTTGCCAACAATGCTGTGTCTGTGAGTCTGGGTCCGTGTGGTGGGCACCCTTCCCTGCCTTCCTGGTCTCTGAGAGCCCCCGCACACATGGATTTGGTTTACGTCTTTGTACCCCAGGTGGAGCATTCCCCGCAGCCTAGATTTGCTGCCCCGAGGTATGAGGCAGTTAGGGCACTGCTCGGTGTCCTGGGTACTGGGGGAGCTTGGCCTCCATTAGCCACTGACTCAGAGAAACCCGTCCACAGGACAAACGCCTTTTGTGGGTGTGAGCAGCCCCTGAAGTGGGTGAGGATAGAACCGCATGCTAGCGGTTTCTGCACACATTCGCGTCCATCAGCAAATGCGTCCTGTAAACGTGCGTCCTGTACAGTAAACTGTCTTGCCTACCTGCCCCGGACAGCTGGGCTTTGATGGAGCTGTGCTCTGCAAGGCAAAGCGGAGGAGGCCCCCGGGGCTGCATTTGTGCCCAGCGTGTGAAGAGAGTTCCTCCGAACCTTCCTTTTGTGTGCTCCCTAGGTTTGTGGTTTTGTTCGAAATCTCCTGTTCAAAGAAGAGAAGCCTGTGGAGGAGAAAGCCTTTTCTCTCTCTTTCTCTTCCTCTCTTTTTTTTCCTCCTGCTGTATGTTTACTTTCACTGTTGCCTGGGATTTCTTTGCCTTGGTCGAAGGTATTGAAAGATTATACCCTTTATTTAAAGACTTCTTGGGTTACCCCTTTGTACTTGTACTTGATTAGATTGAATGTGCAGTGCTTTTGTGTTATGATTTTAATCTAATTGTAAACATAATATGTGCTCATTTTAGGAAATTTAGGAAGTGTAGAAGAGAAACCATCATTTAGTATTCCACCACCCAGAGGCAACAGGTGCTTTATTCTATGTGTTATAGAATATATATGTTAAAAATAGTTGAGATTATATCATGCCTTTTGTACCTGTTTTGATGTATTTTAGATAAGTGCATCATTATGGTGACTAGTTATTATGTTTAAAGACAACATTTAGGGGCGCCTGGGTGGCGCAGTCGGTTAAGCGGCCGACTTCAGCCAGGTCACGATCTCACGGTCCGTGAGTTCGAGCCCCGCATCAGGCTCTGGGCGGATGGCTCAGAGCCTGGAGCCTGTTTCCGATTCTGTGTCTCCCTCTCTCTCTGCCCCTCCCCCGTTCATGCTCTGTCTCTCTCTGTCCCCAAAAAAATAAATAAACGTTGAAAAAAAAAATTAAAAAAAAAAAATAAAGACAACATTTAACCTCAACCTTTTTAATCTATAGATTTGCATATGTCTCTGCCATCCCCCCCCCCCGCCCCCACCCCCCGCCCCACTTTGCAGGATGTCAGTCCTGTATCATTTTTATTACTTTTTTTTAAACTGCACACGAATCTTTTTGCTTTTACATGAAATGAATTTGGACTCACCAGTTTGTAGGGCCGGTTCTTAGGTTATCTCTCTGGCGTTTCCTTTTGCAAAGGCAGCAGGAGGGTCTCAAATAGGAGACTGTTATGAATCCTGAAAGCAGCATTAAATAACTGAAGGCTAAGACCTGCCCAGTATGGGGACTCCCTTTGGTGGTTGAAACGTTTGCACCTCAGTGAGGCATTGTCATGGCCGCATTAAGAGGAGACAGATACACATAGGCAGTTTCCTCCAACAGTTACAGCCAATGCTCAGGAGCTCTCATTTCATTGCTTTCTGAAATGAAAGTGGTGGTCAGCGGAGGGGTGGCTGGAGATGTCCGTGGGGCAGGGGACGTGGGGATCCATCCTGCAGCAGTGGGGGCTGCGGTTTAGATTTATCTGGTTGGAAAGTCATTTTGCTTATGACCAGCTCTATCAGCACAGCCGTTTTTAAAAACAGGAAGTCAAACACTTACAAGTTCAGGCCCCACCCTTTCCCCCCTCTTAAAATCCACCCACAAGACCCACCTCCTTAACCTGGGGAGGGTAGGTGAAAAAGGCCTTGTGAAAGTCATCGCCAGCAGGCATGTAAGTCCAAATTCTTGGAAAAACCAGCATTGTTTTGCGTACTCATTTTTTTCTTTTTCGTTTCTTTTCTCTTGAATTTCGAGACCCTGTCTTTATCACAAGTGAAGAGGAAGGCACATCTTCCTCTGAGGTCATTGAATAGTCTGATCTATCAGTTAAAAATTCCCGGAAACTTATTTGACGCATCTGAGATCAAATATGATTGATCAAAATTTACAAGCTGAGTTGTGCTTTTTTTTTCTCTGTCTCTTGGTCTGTCTCTCTTCTACTCGGTGCCAGGCCCTGGAGGTGGGTCTAGGCACTTGGGGGTTTCAGTATGGATTTTGGCCCCCAGGGAACTTACAGCCAGACTTGAAGCAAATGCAGAAGTAAAAAAAAAAAAAAAAAAAAGTAGGCCTGTCAGGTGGTGTGGAGAAAAACAAAGCAGGGAGAGATAGATGGGGGGCGGGGCTTGCAATTGAATATAAAGGTAATTAGGGAATGCCACTGGTGGGATGACCTTGGAGAGCAGAGACCTCAGGGAAGGGAAGGAGCCATCCACGTGTCCATTCCAGGGAGAATGTCCCAGGCATAGAGCAGCAGAAGCCTGCCCCTGAGGTGGGAACTTGCCAGACAGGCAGCACTGAGTGTTCAAAGCAGAGGGAAGGGGCCGGAGCAGAGTCTGCTGGGGGGCCTGGGGCAGGCTGGGCGGGAGGTGAGGAAGCTTCTTACTTGCACCTTTATCTTTGGGCAGCTGGTCCTGAGCTTTGGTAAAGGGGTCACCGCACTAATCCCGTTTCTCCTCACCCCGCCCCCGCCCCCCCCCCCCCCCCCACTGGACCACAAAGTGGTAAAAGAGATTTGAGAAACATTTTAACGGAACTGGTGTTGGGAAAGTCTTCAACAAAACGTTCAGGGTGCAATCCATGGCATTCACGACCACAAAGCGCGGTCGCACCCTGATTTCTGCGGACACTCAGTAAGGGCGTAGAGAGGGACTGGGTTGGGGGCTTGGTGATTTGGATGTGGAAGGCCTGGGTCCTGGGGCGGGGCTCCTCTGCTCCCTAACCCCATCAATTACCGTATTCCCTCCATTCTGAGAGACTCATTTTTTTTTCGCAATTTCGTAGCGATGAACTTTGACGGTGTCGTCATCGATGGCTTCTTGGCACTGTGCCATGTTTCTGTGACCAGGCTTGTTCTTTCTCACTGGGACACAGAGTGGCCATTGTCTTAGAGTTGATGCCCTCGGAGGCGGCCACCTCTGTAAATTGGGAAGGTACTTTTTGCAAACCACGGCACACCCCGTGACCTTAGTAAGGTGATGGGAAAGGGCATCCCCCTAAGACGCAGGCTCCAGGTGAGGGCCCAGAAGTGCCGGATCAGCCCTGACTGTGGGCTTCGTGAAGGCTTGGCCAGCATGTAGGCCCATAAGCCTTTTCTGCTCTGCCTGGGGGAGCTCGTCCCCATTTTCAGAGGCTTGGGGCTTGCAGTTCATATCTCTCTAACGTTAACTGATAGGGGTCGGGAAGAGCCCGAATGGGAAGGGTGGCGAAGTGACTTATTTAACCCGGGGCTCGACCCTGGAAGTTCCAACAGAAATAGGTGTAGACGTTTCTTGGGGAGACTATCACAGTGTGGATTTTAGTTTCTTTCATGGCCACTGAGCTCACGTGGCCTTTATAATTTCTCTGGCCCTTTAGAAATGTAGTTGTTTGTTCGCGTGTGCGCCTTCTTCTTTAGATTTATCAGGGCACGGATTCTGTCTCTGAGGTTGGCCCAGAGGTCCTTCGGAAACATTTCAAGAGTAAACATTTCAAGAGTAAACAAGAGTAAACATTTCATCTCAAAGACACCTGTTCCCTCCTGTCCCCTCCTTACCTGAATGTCTAGAGCCCAGACGGAAGAGCTGGGCTGCTTTGCCAGGCCCAGACAGCTTCCGGGTGGTCTCTTCCATTTGTCCTCTAAATCTCTCTGCTCTCCTGCTCTACTAGGATTCGGAGTTCAGAGCTGGAACTAAAAAATGGTCTAAGTATTTTAAGCAGAGGGTATTTAATGGAGGGGATCTGGTGCTTATGAAATTGCTGGGGGCAGCTGGAGGCATAGGGCTCTCCACTGAGCCTGCAGGAAGGAGCCCCAGTTGATAGTACATGTAATTATTTGTGAACAAATCTATATTGGCTGCTCCAAACCGACCCCCCAGGAGTGCAGCTGTCTGTCTCCAAGACTGTCCCGGAACTCCTGAGTCTGAGAACAAACTGAGGCTACTGAGAACCAGGGGTCAGAAATCCTGGTTCCAGAGTTGGAATGATTCCCCACTGCAGCTGCCTCTTGACACCCAGAAGGACAGAGGGAGGACCTTGTAAGGCTGTTGTAAAACCTCTCCTGTCCCCATCACCACATTAGCCTGCGAAAAACCGCCCAGAAGGCAGGAAGTTGGTCTCTGCCTCATGTCTTTTTTTTTTTTTAAGTATATGTATGTATGTATGTATTTAGAGAGAATGCAAGTGGGGGAGGAGCAGAGAGAGAGAGAGAGAGAGAGAGAGAGAGAGAGAATCCCAAGCAGTCTCTACACCGTCATCGTCGAGCCCAGTGTAGGGCTTGAACTCACGAACTGTGAGATCATGACCTGAGCTGAAACCAAGAGTCAGATGCTCTTCCAACTGAGCCATTCAGGTGCCCCTCACGTCTGCTTTCTAAGTCTTGAGTGAGTGCTTCTGTTTGGGGAAACCAAATTCACAGCCAGAACCCTGGCTTCAAGAAAGCCTGGCCAAGTATGGCTTTTGCAGCATAAGAAGGCCTTCTAGAAGAAGGGGGTAGTGGAATGGATGATGAGCAAACATCCACAGTAGTCGACCACACATTGGTACACTGTTGGTGAAGCATCCTTGAGGAGTCATTCCCAATATGTTTTGTTTATAGATAATTTATATGCATTACCACCGTCATCTAAATATCCAGCATGAGGATATTTCTAAACTTACTACGAGTAGTGATTGCAAAACCACAAGTTCATTATCCTCTGGTTAATTCTGTTGGCCGACACCTTTGCACTCCGATTCTGCCATCCTTTTTACCTTGTAACGTGGCAGATGGAGACTCGGAGGAGTGTGTGTGCATTGTGAGTATTCGTGCGCTGTGGTTTCTTGGCGGGGATCTTTCTAAGCCTCCATTCCATTTTGTGAGGCTCGGTTTAGGTGAAAGTAGATAATATAATCTGTACACCTACTTACGATTCGTTGTAAATGGCGAGCCATGAAATATGCCGGAGCAATGAGATCACGGAAACAGCCACAGAGTCCCTTCACTTTGTGGCTCTCCATCGTCCTCCTCATGACACCAGTGTTTCTTTTTTTCTTTAGAGAGAGAGAGAGAGAAAGAGAGAGAGAGAGAGAGAGAGAGAGAGAGAGATTGAGCGGGGGAGAGGGGCGGAGAGAGAGAGAGAGATTGAGTGGGGGAGAGGGGCAGAGGGAGAGGGAGAGAGAGAGTCTAAAGCAGACTCCACACTCAGCACAGAGCCCGACGTGGGGCTCTATCCCACAACCCCTGAGCCGAAATCAGAGGTCAGACACTGAATCACTTGAGCCACCCAGGCACCCTCACCTGTGTTTCACAAAAGGCATGTTAAGTTGTTATGATGGGTTACGTGGAAGTGTTTGTGTTGATTTCTATTTTCAACATTAAAGTTCTTTTTTTAGACTAAATATGAATGAAAGACGTAACATTGCCTTCCCAGGGCCCTAGCATCCCCTAGACTTTGGAACTCCAGGTCTGGACTTGTCGCGAGCATAACCGGTGACTGCTAGGCCCGCCACAGCCAACTTTGGGTCAGGGTGCTAGTAACCTCGTGCTTGGTCTGGTAGTGGGGAGTCCGAGTCTGACCGTAGGTAAGGAGGACAGGTAGCACTGAGATCTCCAGTATCACCTGAAGTTCGTTTCTGACTCCGGCAGGTTCGGGTAGGGATAAAGAAACCTGGTAATGTGGGTGTTGAAGTCCATTTCAGTCTTGTGAGTGGTTATCCTAAACGCCTCGGGAAGAAAACCCACAAAGGCAACTCAAGTTGAAACAGGCTGGTGACCGGGCTTCTGCCTGAAGCTGTTAACTTCAAAGAATCCTAGAAGGGGGAAGACACAAAGGCCCCTCCAAGGGAGTATTGTCATATCACACTTTACATCTCTTAACGGTTGACGCACTTTCCCTTTATTGTCATCGTCCGTGGTCATTCGCTATAGAGAAAAGAGCACAGAATTCGCTATAGAGAAAAGAGCACAGAATTTGCGGTGTAGAGACGAGCTTTTGGACCTTGGCCACCTACTGCATCCATTGGACATCACTCAAGATGTTTTTGTTGAATGCTTGTTAAGCGTTAGGCTTTGTTCGGGGGCTGGAGATATGACAGGGACACAGACAAAAATCCATGTCCTCGCGGTACATTCTCCTCGGGGAAGACACAATAACCAAATGCATGTTTAAAACGTAGAGTATGTTTGATGATGACAAGTGCTACAGAAGGACAGTAAGGCAAGGAAGGAGGATATGAAACCGAAGCAGCCTGGGGACTGCAGTTTGCAGTCGGGATGCCCAGATGAGGCCTCCCTGAGAAAGTGGCTTTCTTTAAAGATAAAAGGAGATGAGCCAGGGAAATAATACAGGTATTTATTGAGTACTATTTCTGAAGGTCGACCTGGGCCAGGTATTTAATATGTTATTTCGCAGAACTTACAAGGTACACACGGTTATTATCATCACATGTTATAAGGGGGCAAACTGAGGCATAGAGCATATCACTCATCCAAGGTCACATTGAGAGGACTGAGGCGCCATGGCTGTCTAAGATCTGTTGCTCTGGATATCTAGTAGGGGCTCTCTGTTGGGGGTTGTCCCCTCCCCCACGTTTGGAAATGTGTCGGGATGCTCTTGATTGTCTCTAGGACTGATGACGTCAGTCTTGTTGGCAGGGCTAAGGATGCTAGGCATCCTGCAAAGGTTGGAATCTTTCCGCCCATCAGAGTCATCTTGCCCAAATGCCAATCATGCTTCTCCTGGAGAAATTCCTCAAGACTCTCCAGGCTTGAACAGCGTCTGGCGTAGTACCTGGCCACACCCCGCAACTTGGGCAAGCGCCCGGCAAATTATAGCCACTTAATAATGGGTTGAAAGACCGAGCGAAAGTCATAGCCTCAGAGATTTGGTCCCCTCCTTTGCCAAGTGAAGGTAGTAATATGACCTCTCCAACCTCGTGGTGGGGGTGAGGGTTAAGTGAGAAACTAGATGGGAAAATGCCTTGAAAATGGATGCAGACACTGTGCACACAGATTGTTAGAGTAAATGCACTGCGGTTTCTCATTCTGAGATCTTAATCTTCGCGTTTACAAAAATGCTGTCGTATTTCATCCTGTTTGATACCCGAGCAGGTGTTTATCCGTTCCTTATGTCTGCCCTGCACTGTGAGGTTTACTAAGCGGGTCCTGCTTCCAGACTGCTGTATCTTCTTTCTTTCTTTCTTTCTTTCTTTCTTTCTTTCTTTCTTTCTTTCTTTCTTTCTTTCTTTCTTTCTTTCTTT